GCCGCAGCGCCCTCTGCTGGGCGACGCACAGACACTCACCGGGGTTGGAGCGTTCACCACCGACAGGTTGTATCCATACAGGAATGAGGAACCGAAGGCGCCCACCAGAGAGGCCACGACCAGCCAGCAGGACCAGTCCTGGGAAGAGAAAGGAAAACGCATCCATCAGTCACGGTGGAGACCGTCCGCTCCGCTGGGGGAGCCCATTAGAGGGCGCTGGACCTCCTCCAAGTCCTGACATTCAGTGTTGTTCGTTCGTTTTCAGTATGAGGATTTGAACTCAGGGCCTTGCACTTGGCAGATGTGCCCCAGCTTGAACCATGCCCTCAGTCCCTTGTCCTCTGTTTTACTCTATTTTCCCCCTCTTCCTCCTTTTTGTGTTGGTACGGAGGCCTGGACTCAGCTCTTGCTTTTTCCTCATAGCTGGTGCTTCACCACTTGAACCATGCCTCCAGTTCCTTTTAATTTTTTGCAGGTCAACTGGAGATGAGTTGCTCAGATTGATCTGCCCAGGATGGCTCCGAAGCTTGATGGTCAGACCTCAGCTTCCTGGGTGGCTAGGATGAGGGGCGTGAGTCGTCACATGAGACGCAATGCGTGGAAGGGGCCCTGCGCATTTTGAGCACTTGCAAGTTCTCTTCCGTACAGGGGAGACGTTGATATGGACACTGGAGTTAAGCTGCCTCAGACCAGGGGAAGCCCAATATTGCCACGAAGCCAGCTCTGAGGACAGACTCATGGGATGACTCCCCTCTCACAGCCCACGGGCGGTTCGGTTCCCAGTGTGAGCCTTCGGGATGGCGAGACACAGCATTTCTACTGTTAAGGCTCACAGTGTATGGTATTTGCTAGGGCAGGGAGTTCTCACCAACCAGCAGAAGGTAAGAGGGGCGGGGAGAAAGATAGACAATGTGTGGAGAACGTAAAGACTTCACGTGGCCGGCTCCTGTCTGCACCCACCCGCTGAGACGCAGGAGGCCTGGCCGAGGGTGGAAAGCGGTGGACGGAGCTGTCTCTTCAGCCTGGCGGTCTGCCTGTCCCCCTCCTCCTCCCATGGCTCCCTCCGGAGCAAAGAGTGCCACAACCTGATCGTTGGCGTCACTGCCTGGTGACCTGGGAGGGGAAGGAGGGGGACGGCTCTCAGGCACGGTGCAGAACTCTCCGTGGAGGATCTGTTTTGCAGGCGGCTCCAGGTGGGGCCTGAGCCCTGTCTCTCAGTGCCCACCCAGGCCCTGAGGCCATTTTGTGTTTACCTTCCCGGTCCTTCCACCCGGAGCTTCGCTCTTAGGGCCGTCCTGTGTCAGAGGTGCCAGGCTGAGGTCCTTGGAATCCATGCTGAGTTTCTTCCCAAGGGGCCTGGCAGCCCAGCTCCCGGCTCCACGCTGCCCCAGGACTCTGGACTCTGCCAGGGCATCTCTGCGGGTGAGGAGGCAGAGTCCACAGCGGGAGGGCAGGAGTCCCCAGACAGGAAATGGAGCAATCTGCTCAAGCCCTAACAGGAACCACTTGCATTTTCTGCCCTGCCCCCCACCCCCTCCCCAATCATCACAGCAACCGAAGACTCTTAAAGGAAAACCTGGCCTCTTCGGAGGTAACAGGAAGTGCATTCCTCCCCCCCCCCCATCCTGCAGTGTCTCCGGCTCTCCACGTGGAGTGACTGGCCTTGATCCCACACACTTGTGAATGTCTGGGACAGGAGGGAGGAGTCCCCGGCTTTGCCTCTGAAGCCTGCATGAGTTCCAGCGCTTGCCTGTGTCCTCATAGTGCACTTCTCTGAGCACACTGGCATCATGGCACATTGCTCTTCTCCAGCGCTCCTCCAGGGGTATTCTGCAGCTTGATGGGAGCACTCAGCCGCTGGCCGCGCCGGGGATGGACGCGGGCTGTCTGTGGCTCTGGAGCAGACCCGCCACGTAGGTTTGGAGAAGGCGGAGCTGGGCTCTGGGTTATGACTGTGTTCTGCCCGCGCTGTCCGGGGCAGGCCGCATCCCCGTGCAACCTGAGCTGGCTCGGGACGCACCCTAAGGTGCACACGGGAATTCTCGTGCACACGGGAATATGCTAGAATGCAGGCAGCGCGGCCGCGGGGATCTCAGTCACCGGCGCCTTCAGCCCGGCCGCACAGGCTCCTTCTTCCAGCGGCAGCCAGCAGGGCGGAGGCAGAGCGGCGGGGTACGGCCGGCCTGCGGGGCGGGGGCCTGCGGGGCGGGGGGCCTGCAAGGCGGGGGCGGAGGGCGCCGCCCGCGGGGAGAAGGCAGGTGGGTCATTAGGCCCGGGCTGCGTGAGTCACGCACTCAGCGCCACACGAGCCCGCGCTGGGGGCGGCGCAGAGCCGGCAGGGCTTGCTGGGGGGGGGCGCACTCATCTCAGCTGCATCTGGGACTCCCAGAAGCATCAGCTCCTGCTGCGCCCCGGGAGGCGAGGCCCGGGGGCAGGGGCGGGGAGGTGAGGAGGTGAGGCCCAGGGGCAGGGGCGGGGAGGTGAGGAGGTGAGGCCGGGGCAGGGGCAGGGGCCGGGAGGTGAGGAGGCGAGCGGGGAGCCTCAGTTTCCTCATCCGCAGCAGCAGCCTTTACCACGAGGTGGCGCTCAGTCCACTCTGTCCCCGGTGAGACCCCTCGCCCTGGGGCGGGGTCCCAGGACCGGTCCCCTCCACACAGGCCAGCCCACACCCTCAGGCAGACGCGGGGCTGGGCTGGGGTCCCCGCATCCCGGGGCACACAGCGCTGGCACCGCAGCTCACTCTGATACACCCCATTCTTCATTTTTCACACCAGTAGTTGGGGATCCTGGGCACGCCGAGTCTCCGGCTCACGCACAGGCCCTTCCTCTCACCGCCCTTAACCTTGTCCATCTTCGATGCTTAGCCACTGTGCCCCCTTGACCTCTGCCAGCCTGCTGCGTGTTCCCCATCTTGCCCCTTGCCTGTGCCCTCCCCTGTGGGGAGGAGGGACGGGGTGGAGGGGTGGGGGACGCGGGGTTTGGGTTGGAGTCAGGCAGGTGGGAAGGGATGGAGGAGATGGGGAGAGGGCGCGGGTGGTGCTAGGAGATTCCAGGGACAGGGGTAGAAGTGACTGAGGTGGACAGGACTGGGGGGTGGGGGGGTCAGGCAGGTGGGGAGGACGCCAAGGAGGAGGGGAGGAGTCACGGAAAAGTCTGGAGACTGACTGGGGGAATGGTGAGGGAGATGGGAGTGGGTAGGAGGTAGGTGTGAAGAAGTGGGAGGTGCGCAGGGGTGAGAGGGAGGGCTCCGGTAGCTTGCAGGGCTCAGAGAGCCATGGAAGGGAAGGGGGGTGGTGATGGGGACAGCCAGGGAAGTGGGTATTGGTGGGGAGGGGAGGAGGTGGGCTGGGGTCTGGGAGGTGGGCAGGGGCAGAGTCGCACAGTGGTCAGGGTTGAGAAATGAGGGACAGTCTCGGGTGGGGGGCAGTGCGGTGTGTTCAGGGGTGGGGGGCAGAGGGGTGTGTTCAGGGAGGGCCTGGGGGGGCAGAGGGGTGTGTTCAGGGGTGGGGGGCAGAGGGGTGTGTTCAGGGAGGGTCTCAGGGGTGGGGGGAAGAGGGGTGTGTTCAGGGGTGGGGGGCAGAGGGGTGTGTTCAAGGGTGGGGGGCAGTGCTGTGTGTTCAGGGAGGGTCTCAGGGTGGGGGCAGTGGGGTGTGTTCAGGGAGTTGGCAGAGGTCAATGCAGGGGAGTGCTCACTGAGGGGAGGTCAGGTTCAGGGAGGTGGGTGGTGTGGGGAGGTAGGGTGGAGTCAGGTGGGTGGAAACAAGTCAGAGAAGTGGATGGCTGGGGAGGTCAGAAAAGGGGAGAGGGCTTAAGAAAGACAGCTAGAGGGCGTGGAGGTGAGGGTCACGGAAGTGATAAGGGTCATAGAGATGAGGGTCATGGAGGTGAGGAGGGTCATGGAGGTGAGGAGGGTCATGGAGGCGAGGAGGGTTCATGGAGGTGAGGAGGGTTCATGGAGGTGAGGAGGGTCATGGAGGCGAGGAGGGTCATGGAGGAGGTGAGAGGTCATGGAGGTGAGGAGGGTCATGAAAGTGAGGAGGGTCATGGAGGTGGTGAGGGTCATGGAGGTGAGGAGGGTCATGGAGGTGGTGAGGGTCATGGAGGTGAGGAGGGTCATGGAGGTGGTGAGGGTCATGGAGGTGAGGAGGGTCATGGAGGTGAGGAGGGTCATGAAAGTGAGGAGGGTCATGGAGGTGAGGAGGGTCATGAAAGTGAGGAGGGGTCATGGAGGTGGTGAGGGTCATGGAGGTGAGGAGGGGTCATGGAGGTGAGGATCATGGAGGTGAGGAGGGGTCATGGAGGTGAGGAGGGTCATGGAGGTGAGGAGGGTCATGGAGGTGGTGAGGAGGGTCATGGAGGTGAGGAGAGATAGGAAGGTGGAACACAGCCCATGACCGAGTGTGACTTACGGGGTCAATGGCATCCCTGCTTCACATGTTGAGATCTAGGAGACTTAAAGGCGTGATCAGGTCATGTGAAGTCACGTGGGTCAGCCCTAATCCAATATGTCTGGTGTCTTGTAGAAAGAAACAAGGACTTGGGCCCACCACGTACATATATATACACACACCACATTTATCACACACATGCATGCACGTGCACACACACATACACACACACGTGTGCGCGCTGACCACATGAGCAGACAGGGAGAAGACAGCCATATAGGGCTGAAAGGAGAAGGCTCTGCCAGAGGCCACCTGTGATTGGCTCCGCTTTCTATTAGCTAGCGTAGCTTCGGCCGTGAGATCGTGTCCGGTGAGCCTCTAGGCTGCCTGTCAGCTGGGGCCCAGGCTGCCATCACCCTGGTGTGGCCGAGAGACCTGGGTCACGGAGCCTTACCACCGGCTCCTCACAGTCTTCTACACTAACCTCCCTTCCCTGGAGAAAGGAGGGAAGGGGCCGAGAAGGGCCGGCCTTGTGTCCCCAGAATGCTCCTACGGAGAAAGACGAGCAAGGGGAGGTGCAGACATGGAGGGAGCGAATGCAGCAGGGCTTCTCACTCACTGGACACATGTTGAAAGTGAACTATACAACTTGTGGGTGGGACAGGAAGGGGAAATGGGAGAGAGTGAGGGAAGGGAGTGACAGTAACTTTAACCCCTCTGCATATCACTTTTTCTTGGGTCAGTGGTGGGGCTTGAACTCTGGGCCTGGGCGCTGTCCCTCAGCTCTTCAGTTCAAGGCGAGCGCTCTACCACTTGAGCCACAGCGCCACTTCCAGTTTTCTGGTGATTTATTAGAGATAAGAGTCTCACAGATGTTCCTGCCCAGGCTGGCTTTGAACCTTGATCCTCAGATCTCAGCCTCCTGAGCAGCTAGGATGACAGGCGTGAGCCACTAGAACATTTTTTGAAAAAGAGAAAGACAAGAAACAGGACTGACCACTTTTTTTCTTGCCAGTTCGTTTTCTTTGCTTCCTGCTGGGTCCTGTTCACTGACTGTCATGGTTAACAGTTCTGATCTTGGATCTCTGCTGGTCCTGAGAAAGAAAGACAAGAGGTTATTAGACACTTCCAGTCCAAGACAAGGTGACCCTCAGTGACTTTGCTTCAAGGGACACCTGATGAAGACCCGGGATAAGATGCAGTAGATCCTCCCTTGGGCCCAGGTGCCCTGGAGACCCAGCACTGCCCGTCTGCATCAGGTCACGTTTCAGATGGGCACTGGGAGCAGGTGTGTTTCCCACACGGCTCTCCTGGCTGCTGAATGCAGGAAGCTCCTCCCACTATTCTCCTTCAGAAGGTCGCGCTAGACTGTCTGTCGCACAGAGGTGAAAATGAAGTCAGTGGAAGCTGAGACAAGTGCCAGCCTCGCGAGTTAAGTTGGAAACAGTCGCCAAAATTGTACCTCAGAGCACTGGCTGGATAGAACATGGAAACTGCCTTTTCTGGAGTTTGGACATAGGTTTTTCTATAGACAATATGTTTTTTGGTACTACTGGGGTGTAAACTGAGGACTTCACACTTGCAAAGCCAGACTCAATCACAGAGCCACGTCACATTTCTAGAGCCACAGAGGCATCGATGTCCTTTGGACTAACTAATCCACAGGTGAAAATTTATCCTAATGCATGGATAAAAATGTGCACTAAGATTTCGGTCATAAAATGCTCATTGGAGCATTTTACGTGTTGGAGCCATGACATCTATAACAGGAAAAGTTTGGCTACATTATGGTATGCTCATAGGTTGATACATTCATGTCATGCTTAAACTACGCTATCAGAATGTGGGATGCCAGGCAGAAATGCTCAAATCAACTGGCTTGACAAATAAAGAAAGGTATATTCATGAATATGCATTATTCAACATTAAAAATAGATGCATCGAAGGGGCTGGGAAGGTGGCTCAGTGGTAGAGTGCTTGCCTTGCATGCACGAGGCCCTGGGTTCAATTCCTCAGCACCACATAAGCAAAAAGAAAAAAAAGCCAGAA